GACACCCCTACTCTTACTGACAGTGTCCTGGGATCTGTACTTACCAGCAGGGGACTGGAAATTCTGGCCCTGATAGAAGAGCGCCACCTACTGGCACACATAATGTTCATGAGGTTAATTTTTAACAAGCACAGAGACAGTGGTGCTGGCTCCTGCTGAATGCAAGATAAGATCTGAGCAATTAATGACATGGAGGGAACCTAGTGTGGACATGAGCAAAATAATAGATGAACCAGAATTAAGCCACACAGAACAGATCTCACGTGAACAACAGAAGAGCACAACATGTGTGTCTCACCCGCATAACGCTGCATCCTCTTCAGCTCTAAGAAAAAGACCAAGAGGTAAACCAATTAGCACCAATAACGACAACAACACTTCCTGAGCCGAGCACTTCCAAAGGGCATGCACATTCTCAGGTCGCATGTAGATTCGGGGTACAAAGACACCCTGCTATGTTTCAGGAAAGGCCATTGAAAACTCAGTTCGAGTCAGTGCAGAGGAAACTGGCAGAGGAAAACGATGTATTTAGGAAACGCAGACAGGGCGAGAGGCTCACAGGCTGCAAGTCTGCCGTACACACCGATTTCTGAGAGCTTCTGCACTTCCCCCTGGAAGACGTCCACCAGGTGGGACACCGCTCTCCTCGTCGTGCCCAGGAAGTGGTCAGTGTGAACAGTGGTGTCGGTCCAGTCTTTCGCCTGCGGGGGGCAGCACAGGGACGGGAAACGCTAAAAGGAGAGAGGAGGGATTTGTCATGGAGCTGTTTCCCCGTTGTCTACATTAAGAAGCGGTACCAACTGCTAACCGAGCCGGGGGACTGTGCTGTACTGGCCTATGATCGCGGGAGGGGTCATGGGACTGAGATTCCCCAAGCTGCGGCGCACCGAGAGTGAGCGCCCCCCTGGGGGAAGGGCGGAGTAAGTGGTCGTGGGTTCTCTCGGTGACAGGGAACCCCCTGTGGCCTCCAGCTGCTGCAGTGAGGGACACCGATCGCCACTGATTCTGTGCTCCGGAGTGGCACCACTGTCTGTGACCTGTGAACTGTGACCTTTGACCTGTGACCTACGACCCGCAACCGAGAGACTGGGAGGTGAGAAGAGTGGGGAAGCCTGTCCGCACTTCCTCCTCCTGCTCTTCCCCCCCTGGTGAGATCACAGGCTTCGCAGTGAGAGACATGAAACCTGCCAGGGATAACATACCAACCTTGCGACTGTTGGAAGCCGCGGAATGCAGCACAACTCGGCGGGCAGGACCGGGCGCTCCCCGGCCGGCTCCTCCAGGAGCTGCGATCCCACGCCCAGCCCTAGGGATCCTAGCCCTGCCACGCCCGCCTCCGACCCCAGAGGGCAGCGCTGCAGGGGCCGGGTCCAAATGAAGCTCGGTACCAAACAACCGGCTGACCAGGCCGAGCACAGTGTTCCAGGGCGGTGGAGTGAACCCAAGCGCAGGCAGAGTCAGACGAACAGGCTGAGCACACAGTCAGAGAAGCACAGTCCAAGGCCGCAGTCAAGCAACGAGCAAAGTTCAGAGCCGGGAAACCGGCAGCAGGGGCACAAAGGAAGATCAAGGGACGGAGTCAGGCAGAAGCAGTCCGGGTGGCCCGTTACCCCCGGAAGGATTAATACCCGGTACTCGTTTGGAAAGGAGGCTGGGCGGACCTGAGAGCCATCGGGAAGGAATTAGAGCAAGCTTCACCGCTCACCCCTGCCTGGGATCGAACCCGGGACCTTCCGGTCAGGAGCTAGACGCCCGTCTGAGCTCCCACGGCCCCTTCGGGAAGTCGAGGCACCATGACAAAGGACAGGGGGGATCTAGGGAGGTCGTCCTGAGAAAGAGCGAAGCAGAGCAGGGAAATTCAACACACTGACACAGGAGAAGAGGACGCCGGGACTGGTTCCAAAGCGGTAAGACTGAGCGGGGAGGTACTGCCGAGAGTGAGCGGAAACATCCTGCTGCTGAACACGAGTGATGACTTAACCACGCGCAGGTGGGAGCGCTCTCCTGCCCGATCATGTCTTCACCGCAGTTGGGGGATGGATGGATTGAGTTGATTGAGTTGGGACCCGACCAGTTACTGTGAGGCCGCGAGAGCGCTACCCAGGTGTGACAGCGTCGTGTGGAAGGACCACGGGAAAGGTCAGACTGCGTCACAGCACGTCTCGGACTGAGATCTGAAAGGGGCCCATTGAGGCTCCTCTAACATCCCATCACATCAATTTTCAACGCTGGGGACATGCCTTTCCACACATCAGCCACTCTGTGTACACACTCTCCCTTGTGCAGAGATGAGTTCGGTCTGGGGATCTGTGCTTCCTGTGGGACTCTGTCAAAAGCCCGTGGGAAATCTCACTGTCATCCTATGTTGCAGTGTGTAGCTGGTGATGTTTCTCAGTGAAAGTGCTTTTTGCCTCTCGGCACTCTGACAGCTGACCTGGAGGAAGTGGAGGTAGTCCTCGGTGTGGGAGAGCTGCTCCAGCTCCGTGCTTCTCCTCTGTAGCGCAGCGATTTCCTGCTCCAGCTTCTTAATGAGCCCCTCAGCTCTTCTCTCTGCCATTTTTTGCTTCTGCTCGAACACCTCGATGAGCTGAGCCTGGGTTCTCTCCATGGAGCGCAGCAGAGCGGAGAAGACCTGCAGGCTGTCCTCTGCCTCCCTCTGTGTGGAGGCCTGACCGGACAAGAAGTGAGACAAGGAAGATGGGATGAATGAGAAATTAGCATGTGATGCAGCAATCTCTGCGGCAGTGTGGAAGAGTGGTCAGGGATCCTGCCTGGAAGGTTGTAGTTTCAAATCCTGGCATAGAGTTAAACACTTCACTCACATTGCTCTGGTAGATAGCACAGATCACTTCACATGTGATTCACATGAAATCACAAAAAGCAAAGATAGATTTAAATCAATTTGGATTAAAGTGTTTAATAAAAAGAAATGTCTGAACCAGTATATGCCATTTTACTGGTAAAACAAGATCAGAGGCCCCAGCACTCTCAGAAAGACTGACACTCACAAAGACTGACAGGACTCACTGTGTTTCAGAGAGAGCAGTGACCCCAGTACTGAGCCCTGCAGTACCCCACTCAGAAGGATTGACAGGACTCACTTTGCTGAGCTCCACTGCCTGTTTGATCTCCTCCACCTTCTTCAGTCTCTCCTGGATCATCTGTTGTACCTCTGCCTCAGTCTTCCTCAGCTCAGTCTGTTGACAAAACAGGGGAACAGGTCACTGTTTTTTCCCAGTGACAAACCTAGACAAAATTCTATAGATAAATAATCCTCCACAGTATTTCTAGAAGAAGATCTACAACTATCAATGAGCAACAGTTGTATTTTTGCAAGTGATGATAGTATACTGTAGCTGTGGCAAAATAAATCTACAAATACCTTATTTCTTTGTAGTAATACAAAATGAACATACTGAAATATATAGCATGATAAACTTAACTGTCACAGTATTAAGAATATGTAACACTTAAAAGGAATGTCCCATTCTCACCAAGGACTGGAAAGTGGTCTTTGTGTTATGAACGTGAAAGAAGAGTGATGTCAGCAACATCAAAAATGAAAGCAGCAGAAGACCTGGCTAATGTTTCGATTCAGGCAGCCTCAATAGTTTAGAGTTTCCAGATCCTCATTGCTCATGTGTGGGATGTTCCAGAACATCGCATTTCAGTTCACTGCATCCCTCATTCTCATGCACAACTGTGGGGCAATTCACTGGAACCCACTCACAACAGTAGGGCAGTTCACTTCTGATTCTTACACACTACAGCCTGCTCACAACTGAGGGGCAATTCATCGAAACCCACCCACAACTCTGGGGTAGTTCACTGCAATCCACTCACAACTGTGGAGCAATTCACTACAACGTTCTCTCACACAACTGTGGGGCAGTTCACTACAGCCCTCATTCTCACACACAACTGTGGAACAGTTCACTACAGCCCTCATTCTCACACACAACTGTGGGGCAGTTCACTATAGCCCTCATTCTCACACACAACTGTGGGGCAGTTCACTATAGCCCTCATTCTCACACACAACTGTGGGACAGTTCACTACAGCCCTCATTCTCACACACAACTGTAGAACAGTTCACTACAACACACTCACAACTTTGGGGCAGTTCATTACACCCCTCATTCTCACACACAACTGTGGGGAAGTTCACTAAAGCCTCATTCTCACACACAACTGTGGAACAATCCACTACAGCCTTCATTCTCACACACAACTGTGGGACAGTTCACTGCAGCCCTCATTCTTACTCACAACTGTGGGGCAGTTCTCTATAACCCTCATTCTCACACACAAATGGAGAGAACTTCACTACAACACACTCACAACTGTGGGGCATTTCACTATAGCCCTCATCCTCATACACAACTGTGAGGCAGTTCACTAAAGCCTCATTCTCACACACAACTGTGGGGCAGTTCACTACAGCCCACTCACAAATGTTAGACAGTTCACTACAACCCACTCACAACTATAAGGCAGTTCACTACAGCCCTTATTCTTACTCACAACTGTGGGGCAGTTCACTACAGCCCACTCACAAATGTAAGGCAGTTCACTACAACCCACTCACAACTATAAGGCAGTTCACTACAGCCCTTATTCTTACTCACAACTGTGGGGCAGTTCACTACAGCCC